CTGTCACAGATCCTTCGCTGCGGACGCCTCTGTGCAAATCGTGGTACGGCAAGACCATTCAGTCTTAGAACGAGAGTGAGGAGCAAGCCCTGCTTTGCCCGGTGCAGAGGGCACACGGCAAATTCTCAGGAACTCCAGCTCCAGCAGGAAGATGTGAGACCTGATTAACCTCTCCGCTGACTGTTTTCTTAAGAAAGACGAGAAAAAGCATTAAATATGTTTATGCTATGCTGCTGTCAGCCGCAGGCTTCACAGACTTAGAAGAACTGTTGCCAGACTTCCACAAAGCCATCACTTCGTTTGGATACGCCCTGAGCAAGTACTGCGCTCACGTGCCTCTTCAGGGTGAAGCCCACTGGATGGCTTCTCCCTCTTGGTATCTGGGGCCCAGGGCTGATACCCGGATGTGCCTGCCTAGGAGCAGGACCCCAGCCCAAGGTCAGGGGCAATCGACACTGTGGCAGTGGCGAGAGGTGCCTTCTTCCCCTGAGAATGTATATTTGGACTTAAATTGATGGGCATGTCCTAGCTGGTTTGGCTCAGTGGATAGAGCGTCGGCCTGCGGACTGAAGGGTCCTCAGTTCGATTCCGGTCGAGGGTTGCGGGCACATCCCCAGTAGGGGGTGTGCAGGAGGCAGCTGATCCATGTTTCTCTCTCATCGACGTTTCTAACTTTCTATCCTTCTCCTTTCCTCTCTGTCAAAAATCAATAAAAATATATTTTTTTAAAAAAAATTGATGGGCAAACCATGCATCCACTGCGCATGTGCTCCCAGGGCTGAGATCCCGTGTCCCAGCAGCTAAGGGCTCAACATTGACCTACAATTCCTCACCCAGGGTGCAGTGGGATGGTCTCTGAAGTGCGTTAGGAAAGGAGGCAGCTCTGAAGACCCTTAGTCACTCAACCTTCTTGGAACTCACACTTTGCATTTCTAAAATGCAAAGAGAGAGAGCTCAGTAAATACTGGCTGGCTGGCCGGCTGGCCGGCTGCCTCGGTTAGACCAGAAACCCTGAACACAGGACCAGCGTTAACATTCTAAGACTTTAAACCGTCTGTGTTGATAAAAAACACACATTTATTCTGTGTCCTTTTGGGTGACCTTCAACTCACTAAGGCATTTCCCTGCGGGTGTATCTGAGACCAAGAGCCTGCCCAGCAGTTAGGCCTCCTTATCACATCAGTGTCTGTCCTTCCGCTCCAGGCTGGGGCTCAACTGCTCTAAGAGATAGGCTGGCAGAGAGGTCCGCACACAGCAGGCCAGTGGGCCCAGGAGGCTGGGGGGGGTGGGGGGGGGGCTCTGCATGCTGCCACCTGAAACCCAGGCTGAACAAGGAACCATTCAAGCCAGAGGTGGACCCCAGAGACCCGAGGCAGGCATTTCTTCCCCAGCGTCAACTTGGCAGCACCCCATAATGTGTGCTGGTGGGGAGCCCCCAGCAGGATGCTCTCCCCTCTGTGGCCCTTTCCCTGGTGGGAAAAGAGGGTCTCCAGAGACGATGCAAATATAGCATTATTTTCCCCTAGTCCTTAAAGCATCGTCACTGCTTATTAGAGAAAATGGGTTAAGGTGCTAAATTTTCATAGGCATTTCTGATTAGGCATTCATAGTTATGTCTCAGGAATGAATGGCTGAGAATGAGATCCGCGAGATGATCATGACAAGGTGGATCACATGTTTAGAAGACAGAGGGACAAAGACAGACAGACTGATCAGTTTTGCTCTCAATTATATTCCCTGAAGGGAAATGAACAGTCAGCGTGCAAACATCCTACCCAGATTCAGCAGATCACAGGGCATCCCAAGTTGCCAAGGCAACACCAGCTGAGCACGAGACGAATACAAGTGTACATTCCTTATTAGAATAAGAAAGTTCCCTTCTAGTCCAGCCAATGTGGCTCAGTGGTTGAGCGGCGACCTATGAACCAGGAGGTTACTGGCCAGGGCACATGCCTGGGTTGCCAGCTTAATCCAAAGTAGGGGGCGTGCAGGAGGCAGCCGATCAATGATTCTCATCATTGATGTTTCTCTCTCTCTCTCTCCCCTCTCCTATAGTTGTATCAATACAACTATATTTTAAAAAAGAGAGTTCCCATCTATGTCTGCCTTGCTAAGAGGTTTATGCTTTGTTTTTTCTTGTTTTGTGTTTTTAATCATGAATGCATACTATACTATATTAAAAGTTTTTCCCCACCAAAACCGGTTTGGCTCAGTGGATAGAGCGTCGGCCTGCGGACTGAAAGGTCCCAGTTCGATTCTGGTCAAGGGCATGTACCTGGGTTGCGGGCACATCCCCAGTAGGAGATGTGCAGGAGGCAGCTGAACGATGTTCCTCTCTCATCGATGTTTCTAACTCTCTATATCCCTCTCCCTTCCTCTCTGTAAAAAATCAATAAAATATATTAAAAAAAAAAAAAGTTTTTCCCCATCTACCTTATGCATATATAAGATTTTTAAAGAAAAGATTTCAGGGAACGTAACTGCTTTTCTCTCGCAAGGTCAGAAACACAGACTTGCTAGGACTAACTCTCCCGTCTCCCAGCCAGGCTAGACCTCAGCATCCAAGGCGAGGGTCTGCCCTCCCGCTGGGCACCTCCATGGACACACACGCCTGCCACTCCTCTGCGGCTGCCTGTTGGAACGCCTCAACACTGTTTTGCTCTAAAGTTATCCCTAAATTTCCTCTGGGGGAGAAATTCTTACCTGAACTTGAACTCCGATTAGCTGCCTCGAACACTCACTGTCCAATGTGACTGTTAGGAAGGGAAAGGGAACCACATTTCCCCGCAGGATCCTTACAAAGAGTGAATGAGGTCAGCGGCAGCATCCTCATATTCTATTCAAAACTCAAGCCCCTGAGAGGTTCAATAACTTGTCCCAAGTCTCACACCAGCAACGGATGGGGATGGGGATGGGGATGGGGATGGGTCTGTGTGGCTTCCAGGCCCGGCGCTTTCCAGGGTTCCTGGTGCTGCCTCTGACCCTCCAGGCACCCAGACAGAAGGACTTTGTAAATTAGCGGCCAGGGTTCCAAACTGCCTACTCTGTAGACTCCAGTGAATAGTATAATTAGGCACAGGAAATGGTTCATTGTTGTTAGTCTGCAACCTAACAATGAAGGTCAGGGGCTGCTCAGGAAGTTGAATTTTCCCTTGGGGACTCGGGGCTGAGTGTCCTTAGAGAGCTGTGAGCACCTAGGCTGGGCTGCCAGGTACCCTCCCAGGCTCGGAGAACAGGCAGCACCCAGGCCTGGCCGGAGGCAGCAGGCCCCTGGGCAGAGAGCACTCATCCAGAAGACGGGTCCGGGGCCCCTGTTAGCGATACTAAATCCAAGTACCTTGCAAAGGAGGAACTCAGGCGCACCAGCCACTCCTCCAGCTAAAAGGCTTTCATGACTTGTCTCGTTTAATCCTGGACACATCCCAAAATGGGAGCTGGTATTATGCCATTTTTACAGATGAGCGGATGGAGGCTCAGGGAAGTGACTTATCCAAGAACCTCCCGCTCCCCAAACCCTGGGTATTATGCCATTTTTACAGATGAGCGGATGGAGGCTCAGGGAAGTGACTTATCCAAGAACCTCCCGCTCCCCAAACCCTGGGTGGTGAGAGCCCAGCACTCCTCTGCTGGTCCTTCACCCTGAACTCCATCCGTCGCCTGAGTTGACAACTGGTTTCCACCACACACTCCTCTTTGAGGACAACACGGTGTAATTGTTGGGAATGTGGCCTCTGACCAGACTGCTTAATTCAAATCCCGGTTCAGCCTTTCGCAAGTTCTGTGACTTTGGGAAAGTCATGGACATGTCTCTGAGCCTCAGTTTCCACTTGCGTAAAATGAGAACAACAACAGTACGTTCTTCAAAGGGTTGCTATGCAGGTTAATGGGATAGTACCTGCAAAGGTCTTAAAACAATGCCTGGCACACAGCAGGGGGTGTGTGTTAGTTATCTACCTCTGCGTAACAAATTACCCCAAACCCAGAGGCTTAAAACAACAATAAACATATATCATCTCACACAAGGAGAGGGCAGGAATTTGAGTGCTGCCGGCTTGTGCTCCCTCACGAGACCATAATCAAGACATCAGTCAAGGCAGCGGGCATCTGTAAGCTCGACTAAAGTCGGAACATTTTCCAGGGGAGCTGGCGAGCTGGTGCTGGCCGGGGGCAGGAGGCCTCCGTTCTCCATGTGGGGGTGTCCTCACCACACACAGCCAGCTTCCCGATGGAGCAAGGGGTCCCAGAGAACGGGGTGCAAGCAGCCACATCTTTCACAACCTCGCCCTGGACGTCACACACCACCACGTCTGCATTGTCCTGCTGGTTACACAGGTCTGCCCTGTCCATGTGGGAGGGGCTGGCCAAGGGTATGAACACCAGGAGACCAGGATTTTGGGGGGGCCAAGCTTGCAGGCTGGCTACCACAGGACAAGGTCTATTAAATAAAGAAAGGACTTGGATCGTAACTATTCTAAATGCCTGGCATACAGCGAGATAATCAATACACATTTATCAGAAGAATGGCGGTTTGGACGAAAAGAAGGAAGGCGCATGTCATCCCTGCCAAGTTCCATTCTAGCGCTTGTTCGCTTTACTGTCTGCTTTCTGAGCCATTTCCAAGGAAGGGGCTACGTGTTCTCCATTTAGCCTCTAAAGCATTCTCTCCATACGTTCGTTCTCAAATTTCATCTCCGTATAAAAGTGTTTAGAGTGGTAACCTCAAACCCGAAGTGCTCCGCAACCGTCTTTTTCACACAAATATACCAAAATGAAATGCTTCCCCTGAATTCCAAAGGCTAGGAGCAGAGCAGCCTGAAGTTTTGCTGGTTGAAAGGTCTGGACTAAAGGGACGATGCGGGCCCTAGTGTGTGTCCCAGGACAATGGTGGGAAAGTTCCTCCGTGCACAGAGGCGGCGATCCGCTTCCTCCTCCCCCACGGGCTGCACTCGGGAGATAAGCCTGGCTGGAACCCACGGAAGGCTGCTCACCACAGCCCGGGGCCCGGAGCAGGCCCGGGAGGGAGGACCAGGGGCGGGGGAAGCCTCCGAGGGGCCAAAATTCTCAGACTCCTGCTTCTTGGCAGCTGTCTCCCGTCAGATCCCTGCCAGAGACCTTAGACCCAGGACATGTCCTAGCAACGGCCCTAGGACAGCCTTTCCCACGGTGTTCCAGGATGATGCTGTCAACTGCACCCCTGCCCTCACCCATCAGAGGTGCCCCCGTGCCCCCCTGGGAAGCACCGATGGTGAGTAAGGGGGTGTGCAGGAGGCGCACAGCGCCACAGCTGGTCACCCCGGGCATTGCGCTGAGGCAGGTGTGGCTGACAGTCTTGAGGAGCTGTCATCCTCCCCTGGGTCCCCTCCAGGAGCCAAGGGCATACATGACACACCTTGGCTTCCACTAGGAGCGCAGAGGGCTGGGAGGGCACCGGGTGCGCAGAGAACACTTTACTCCGTGCCACGCTGCTGAGGGCTCACTCCTGGGAGATGCCAACACGGTTTCCATGATCACAGGTGTGATGTTTGCAGCCTCAACAAATCCATGACTGTACAGGGACGGAGTCATAAGGCAACAAAACCCATGGAACTGGGGCCAAGACAGTGGTCACTGCTGGTCATAATCTTCACTAGGTCAAAGCTGACGACACGGCCAGGGCCCTGCTCCCGGTATGCATGCACAGTGGCCACAGGTAAATATGGGGTAGAGACAATCATCTCGGGCTGAGAGGGGATTTGCTAAATCTCGATCGAATGACAAAGTCATCACGGAGTCCAGAAAGTCTTCCTTCCCCATTTTACCCTGGCTTCTTGGATGCTCGTTGTGTTCCCTGCCTCCCCACCCTATGACTTTCAACATCTACTGTATGTGTAGCAAAGGAGTGACCAGCACTACAATATAATATACATGTAATGCCCGGCTGGTGTGGCTCAGTGGTGGAGCATTGACCCATGAACCAAGAGGTCATGGTTAGATTCCCAGTCAGGGCACATGCCCGGGTTGCGGGCTTGATCCCCAGTAGGGGCCATGCAGGAGGCAACAGATCCATGATTCTCTCTCATCATTGATGTTTCTATCTCTCTCTCCCTCTCCCTTCCTCTCTGAAATCAATCAGAATATATATATTTTTAAAAGTTCACTTAAAAAAATGATTCCAGCTAAGGAAAGCATGGATTGGATATAATATTAATAATACAAATGCAAATAATTACAAAAAAAGGGCAGGGCAGCGTGTTCTGCAAATAATTTCAAATGTGGATTTATATTCAAAATCATTAACAATGAGCATCACTCTAAGTGCATATTTTTATGTTTGGAGATAGCCTATAAAATACTGATTATTTCATCTCTATCTCTTTTTATGTACATTTCTGCTTGTTCTGTAATTATATTCTATATTAAGAAACACAAGTATGAAGTGTATATGGAAAGTGTTATTGGTACTCCCTGAAACTTTTACGGATGGGTTTAAGCAAAAACATTAGGAAGCCCTTATCTACACGCATGCACTTCATACCCCGTCTTATCTCTCAGGAAAAAGGCGCAAAGGTATCTAGACTGTGGAAATGCTGGACTTAAAATTACTTGTAAATCTCCCGTAAGAGGAGCAGGAGAAGCAGCCAGGAAATCCGCTTCGATAAATTTTCATTTTTTTCCCCCTGTGCTTGTGCAAACAGCGCTGGAGAAAGTTATCAAACGTAACGTTATCTCCCTCGGAAGCTGCAGAATTATGGCTCCCAGATGGGTTCCCAGCCCTGCCCTTGAGAAAAGTCAATAAACTGGGGGACCACAAATCTCACGGCTCGGCCAGGCCAGCAAGTCAAACGAAGGCGCAACCCTCTCTTTTCAGGGGGAATAACCGAGTGCAGGCTGGGCCCTGCAGCTCCCCGTCTGGATAAACACAAGCCTCGTTTGGTTGGGAGAGGGTTGGGGGTTCAGCCGCGGGACTGAAATCCATGGGACCTGAACCCCATTCCCTCTCGCAGCGTCTCACCCTCTCCTAGCAACCATGGTCACGTTCCTTCATTTGAGTGGCTTAGTTTCCATAGACGGGCTTACTACACAAGCCACGGAAGTGTCTAACCCAGGGGTGGGCAAACTTTTTGACTCGAGGGCCACAATGGGTTCTTAAACTGGACCGGAGGGCCGGACCAAAAGCACGGATGGAGTGTTTGTGTGAACGAATATAAATTCAAAGTAAACATCATGACATAAAAGGGTCGGGTTTTTTTTTTTTTTTTAGTTTTATTCATTTCAAACGGGCCGGATCTGGCCCGCGGGCCGCAGTTTGCCCACGGCTGGTCTAGCCCCACCCTGGGGCAGCTGTGGATGAGTATCTGATACCAGGACACAAGCCAGAGGTCTGTCCACGTGCTCTGAATTCCACCTTCTTCCCCCGGTCCGGCTCCTGTGGCCGATTTCCTGGCGATCTCACGCTCGTGTCCATGACGCGACTTTATTGCTTTTGGTCACAAATATTAAGCCTTGATTTTCACGAAGTTCCAGTCCCCACGGCCTCCCCGTGCCACAGCCCGGCAAATGTGCTTTTACTGCCGCCAGAAAGCAATAAGTAATTTCTTTTTCAAAGCGTGCTGAGCACTCCGGGGAAATTCCGCCTCGTGCTTCTTTCTGACTGGTTTCGGCGCTCAGTCCATCCAGGGGAATCCGTTCCAGATTAAGCTGGACTTGGCGAGGAAGGGTACACAGGGGCAGCTGAAGAGGATGTCTCTAGGGCAGCGGTTCTCAACCTGTGGGTCGCGACCCCTTTGGCGGTCGAATGACCCTTTCACAGGGGTCGCCTAAGACCATCCTGCAGATCAGGTATGTACATGACGATTCATCACAGGAGCAACATGACAGTTATGAAGAAGCAACGAAAATAATTTCATGGTTGGGTCCCAACATGAGGAACTGTATTTAAAGGGCCAGAAGGTTGAGAACCACTGGTCTAGAGCAAAAAGTATGCCCACCCAGGGCTCTCAGGGTCACGCTTCTAAAAGAATGTGGGAGAAACAGGGCTGGCCTTGTTATTAAAATTCTTCCCCAGGCCCGGCTGGCATGGCTCAGTGTCTGAGCATCGACCTAGGAACCAGGAGGTCACGGTTCGATTCCCCATCAGGGCACATGCCCGGGTTGTGGGCTTGATCCCCAGTAGGGGGCGTGCAGGAGGCAGCAATCCATGATTTTCTCTCATCATGGATGTTTCTCTCTCTTCCTCTCCCTTCCTCTCTGAAATAAAAATATATATTATAAAAAATAATGGAGGGAGTGGGGTTAGGGTTAGGGTTATGGTTAGGGTTAGGGTTAGGATTAAGGTTAGGGTTAAGGTTAGGACCACCCAGAAAATGTCCATCTAGGAACCAGGAAGTGGGCCTCACCAGACACCAAATTTGTAAGTGCCTTGATCTTGGAGTTCCCAGGCTCCAGAACGGGGAGAAGTAAATGCTTGCTGTGCAAGCCACCCAGGCTGCGGTATCTTTGTTACAGACATTTACCAAGTTATTTGAAAGCGGAGTTCAAAAACGCCAACTATGCCTGGTTTGTCATGCTGCCCCTCTCCCCCCAAAACCGACACAGATCTTTTGTCTTCTCCAGGACTAACGCTGCCCTTTGGAAGTCAAATGTCATACAAATAGGACGTGCGGTGCAGCAGCCAGGTTGTCCGCAGAAGCAGGGGCTGGGTTTTTTACCTGCCGTCAGTGCCACCTTATCACTGGGTTTGAATGCACCTCCTCACAGGAGACATGCCGCCTGCTGGCTTTGAGCAGTGAGCGTGGCCAGGCCTGGCTGCCTTCCTCCCACGGCTGAGGCCTTCTAAGACAGGGGTTAATTGGGGTGTGAGAAGGTTACTGCTCCTCAGAGACCCCTTCAAATAAATGTTTCTAAAATTTGCATGTGAAAAGCACATCTCTGCCCAGTGCTTTAATGCAAAGCCTAGTTTCCAAAATTCAGGTGTGGGGCTCAATACCTTGGGGGGGCGGGGGGCGGGTGGCCAAGCTCAACTGCAAAGAATTGTAACCCTGGGAGGTGGCTCCAATGGGCAAGCACCCCTTTCAGCCCAAGCACCTTGTGACCAGGGTGATGCTCCCCACAGGAAGGCCGTCTCGCTGAGACGCTGATGCTTGAATCCTGCTCAGCTCACACTCCGGGCTGTCTGCCTCTCCGCTCCCTGACTGCGAGTCACTCCATGGGCATTGGCGCCAGTGCTGGCCTCGGTCGGCACAAAGCTCGTTGTCCCAAATCTGTCACCAGGCAGGAGAACCCTAACCTCATCTCGGGCCGAGGGGCAGCCGCCGTGTGGGTGGGGCCACCAGGCTGAGGCCTTGTTTCTGTCTGGGTCCTTTGTCCACCTATTCCACTCAGCCTGTTCTTTCAGATCCGACCTGCCCATAATTAGCCCGGCACAGGTGCCTGCGCCTGCCAAAATGACCAGGCTCTGAGGCCTCGGGGGGACTCGCTGAGAGCCAGGCAAGCATGCACCTCACCGATTCTCAGATCTGCGCCTCCCTCCCCCTTTCCAAAGGAGCTCGGGGCTGGAATCAATATCCTCACAGCTGGACGGGTTCACAAGGCCACGGCCCACTCCTTGCGGATGCCTCCAGGAGGAGGTATGCAGCTAGAGGAGAGGCGATTCAGAGCAGACGTGCCCACCCTCCGTCCTAAGAACCGCCGTGAACACACACAGAGACACACACGCACACATGCACACACTCTCAGACACACAGACACACGCGCTCACGCGCACCTGCTAACTTCCCTCAAGGCCAGAAGTTCCTTTCCTATTTGCTGCTTCCCAGCAGGGTCTGCCTCCCACAAGCAAGGCCAGGCCAGGGAGGAAGGAGGAGGCTGGCCAGACAGCAAAAATGAAGGGCAGCGTCCATCCAGGTTATGAAGTGAGCAGTCGGTGCAGGATATTTCTGGAGAGCCCGAAGCTGAGACAGCCTCCCGAGGCCCAAATGAGATTGTCCCTCCTGATGGGAGGATTTATTCTGACCTGTCGGGCCTGGTTTAAGGGCCCTTCTGCGGCACTACTTGAAATTCAGGGATTTGGGCCATATCTCGGGCTTGTAACTCATTACAGGACATCCGGCATCAAGGAGGCTAAATGTGTCCCATTATTATTATTATTAGAAAAATTGTATTTTATTTTTTAAAAAATATATTTTTATTGATTTCAGAGAGGAAGGGAGAGGGAGAGAGAAACATCAATGATGAGAAGGAATCATTGATCGACTGCCTCCTGCACGTCCCCTACTGGGGATGGAGCCCGCCACCCGCACATGCCCTGACCGCGAATCGAACTGTGACCTCCTGATTCATAGGTTGATGCTCAACCACTGAGCCACGCTGGCTGGGCCCTGCTTCATAACTTTTAAAGTTTCCACTCCAGTCAGTACCGCCTGTGCCACCGGCTGTTGTGGCTGCTGGCATTTTCGGAGAATTTTCAAACGACCGACAGAGAATATTCTTGGGCCCTGTAACCCTGGGAGGTGGCTGCCCAGGGATCCAGCCAAACTGAGCTCCACTCACAGCTCAGCCACATCCCACCTCGTGACCTTGAGTGACCCTCTCCGGTCACCTGACTCTGGGTTCCTTCCCCCACATGCTGGCGGCGATAGTCCCTTTGCCGGAGGGTTTTCATAAAACTCAATGCATTCATTCATTCACTCCACACACATTTATTGAGTCCCTTCCAAGTTTTCAGAACCGTTTTAATTTTTAAAGATATGACCGTGAACGGTGCCCTGTCACAAGGCTTGCCTCCCAGTGAGGAACAACAGATAAACAGATGTGTAACATGCTAAGTGGAGGCGTGTGCTGGGAAGAAAGAGAAAGACAAGGAAGGAGACCCACAAGGTCGCAGGGGGAGGGTATTCAGGAAGGCTTTATGACGTGGTGACAGATGAACGGAGGCCTGACGAAGTGGAAACAAGTGCAAACCCCGGGGGGTGCGCGCCATAATGGACTGGACAGAAAAATGCACTGAAAAGCGCTTGACAAATGGGAGTCCTCTCTGGAACCCCACACTCCTTGGCCTGACGTGTTTCCAACCAACCTCCAGGCCTGACACACGCTGGTGCTATCGCCCCTCCTTTCCTCAGAGGGAAACCAGAGAGCCCCCCGCCACGCGTGTGCGCGCACACACACACACACACACACACACAGCCCTTTGAGAAGGTCTGCCATTAATGCATGTGTCCTTCAGAGCAGAACTGGGGGAGCAGGTCCGCCCTCCTGAGGCCAAGGGGCAGGGCAGGCCTGCGAGGTTCAAGGCTGGTGCTTGGCACGGCGGTCCTGGGGCTGCCTCTGTTATCACACCCTCGCCAGCAGTCAGGACATAATGAATCTTCTGGAAACGCGTTTTGTAATTCTACTGGGGTCGTGGATAATGTAATTAGGAGATAAAGAAATTGCCTGGAAGGAGATGAACTCAAGACTCATAGATCACATTTCAGACAGGTCCGCTTGAAGTCGGGGGTTCTGGGAGCAGAACGGCAAATTTCATTCAGAAAAGGGCCACTCCGGGGAGAAAGTAACGCAATCACTTCTGAGAACAGCATGGAATAAAGTTGGTGTCTGAGTGAGTGCAGGAGAGGCATGAAGATAATAACTGGTAGGGGCCACAAAGGGCGATTGCAGGTGGCGAAATCAAATGACGAACCAGCTAGTCATATAAAAAAGTGAAAACAATAATGGTGAATCACTCCTGTATCAAAAGGATGTCGGCTGGGCCTGGCCGTCATGGCTCAGTGGTTGAGCGTAGACCTATGAACCAGGAGGTCACAGTTCAATTCTTGGTCAAGGCACATGCCCGGTTGTGGACTTGACCCCCAGTAGGGGGCGTGCAGGAGGCAGCTGATCCATCAATGTTCCTCTCTTATCAATGCTTCTATCTCTCTATCCCTCTCTCCCCTCCTCTCTCTCTAAAAATCAGTAAAAACATACTTTTTAAAAAAGGATATCTGCTGGATGGGTAAGAACTCTATAAATGTACAATCAAAATTTAAAAGGACTGAGTTCAGGAGCTCTGGGGGACTTGGGAAATGGTTCTGAAGGGACGGAACGGAACTGACAGCTGTGTCCCTAACAAAAGGACAGAACGGAACTGATAGTAAAAGAACAGAATGGAACTGATAGCTGTGTCCCTAACTCCTCTCCCAGGAAAGCCACAGAATGTATCAGTTACTCAGCCTGCCCTTATCTCAGCCAATGGGAAAGCAAGGGAAACTACCCCCCGGCCCTCACTCAACCAACCGGAATCGACCAAGTGCCTCCACCCCACTCCCCAAGCCCTATAAATTCTTTGTTCTCTTGGGAATCGGGGCTCTCTCTTGCATCCAGTAATGGAGGCAGAGGGGGACCAAGCCTGGGCTTGAATAAAAGACTCTATGCTTTTGCATCGGACTTGGCTCCCTGGTGGTCTGTCTTGGGGGATGTTGAAATCTGGGCATAACAGTTCAAGGTGTGAAAGTCACTTTGAGTCAGTCCGAACTGGTCTGAATACGTCCAATTAAAGCGGCCCTCGGCCACCTGGTGCTTGCACACCGAAGTTCACAGCAGTGCTATTGGTAACAGTGAGAAAGGGGAAGCCACCGAAATGTCCATCAATGAATGAATGGACGAACAATCGGTGATATATCCATATACTGGTACATTGTCGCCATAGAAAGGAACAAAGTACTGAAGCATGTTAACATGGACGATCCTTGAAAACATTCTATTACGTGAAAGAAGCCAGTCACAAAAGGCCACACACTGTATGATCCATTTACATGAAATGTCAAGAGCAGGCAAATCTGTAAGGACAGAATGTAAATCCGCTGGCGCCAGGGCCTGGGGGAGAGCATAGGGGTGATAAAAATGATAAAAATGTTCTAAAACTGGATGGTGCTGACGCTGCGCAACTATGAATGACTAAACCAATGAACTGCACACCTGAGGGGCTAAATTCTATGGGGTATGAATTATATCATAATAAAGCGGTTTGATTTTTTAAAAGGGCTTTTTCTCTGTTTGTCTAACAGTAAATTAATACAGCACACCAGTAACGAAACACTGCAAGCCGAACTTCCATTCCTCCAACAGCCCCCCAGGCAGGCCAGGTTCCGGCCGTTTCGCAAGTGAAGAAATGAAGGCTAAGGTAGGGAACTTGCCCTGAAGGACCCATCGAAGACGCGGAACTCAAAGCCAGGGCTGCTTAACTCCATGCTCAGCCTTCCTCCAGGACCGGGCAGCGGAGCGATGCTGGGGGCACGTGGTCTAGACGTGGGGGTGGATGTGAAAGGGAGCAGGTGGGCATGCTGTCACTCACTATCATTTATGCACCAGGACTTGGGGAGCACCTCTCATGTGCCGGACCCTGCTCTGTGTGCACTGGGAACACAGCAGTGAATTCAACCCAGTGCTTGTCTCTATGGCACCTGCAATTTGGTGGAGCAGGAAAGAAACGAAACTTAAATAACTATGTACCTGTGTCTGGTAGCACGCAGTTCTGTGGAGAAAAATAAAAGTGAGAATAGGGGTCAGGGAGTGCAGGGCCGCGAGTCTGGACACTAATTTATACAAGGCTGACAGGGAGGGCCTTTCTGATCATGTAATACCTGAGCAGAGCCTCCACCAAGGGAGGGAGAACTGCGAGGATCTGGGGAGTGGGTAGCGGGAACAGCACATGCAAAGGCCCTGGG